ACAATTGCTAGGAAAAGACAATCATGCTTGGTAATGTAGAAGGTTAGCAAAAAAGTGGGAGACCATCCATGCGATGGGCTGATGCAACAACAACTATAGAGACCATGAAAACTGGGGAATGTTTTAACTGTCATACTTAGGGTCATCATGAGTCAGAGCCAACTCATGGCACCGAACAAAAACAATGTCTACTTTTAAAATAAACAAACAAAGCTTTGCCTGTTTTCCTGTGTGAGCTGTGGCAGCACGTGGGCGTGTATGAACAGTACATGGGAGTACATGTACTCGATGTGCAAGGCCACACCAGTTTTCCTGTCTTGCCCATCTTGATCCCATAGTCTCTCTCTTATAGTCCATTAATGACCAGTATGTAGCAGACTTCAACCTAACAATATTATAGCCTCAACTCATGTCTCTCCCCTCCGCCTGTGAATTTCTTCCACTCCTCATAGTTATGGTACAGACTGTCACTAATGAAAGTCACTTCTGGTTCTAATGTACACACTGTACCATGATTAGTCCAATTTACAGCTAAAGTGCTTTGAAATCCTCCTTACTCATTATCTCAACCTCTCTCTAAGGTAGGTGTTCGTTTCTCTCAGGTAAATCCTATTTCTAATTAAAGAACTCCATCTGGACCATTACTCCAACTAAAATGCCAAATTACTCAAATATTGTTTACTTGCTCAATATAAATGCAAACGAAGGAGGTTAGTATATCACCAAGGGAGCAATTTATTAATGAAACCTATCTATCTTTCCTGACCCTAATGGCTAGGGTCTTTAAAAAAATAAAACGAAACAAATAAAACCTGTCCCCTGCTAGTAAATATGAGCAATACCAGTTAAACTGGTGAAGAAAGCTAGATTAACAAGCCTTAAAATAAGAGGGACGTGCCACTAACAATCATGTAACAGAAACAAATTATTGGGATTTCTTGCCTAATTATTGCAATGACCTCTCAGAATTTTTTATTAGTCTTTCATTTAGAAAATAAATGTCATCTGTGATTTATAATAGTCCTGGTGCGGCACAGTAGGATAAGCACTGGCCTGCCATCCACAAGGTTAGTGGTTCAAATCCACCAGTTGTTCCTCCTAATTCCTATACAGCATCACTGAGTCAGAAATGATTCAATACCACTCAGCAATAACAATAATGCTTTACACAGGAGTCCTGGCAGCGTTGGGCTGTTAACCATGCAGTCAGTGGTTCGAATCCACCAGTTACTCCACGGGAAAAAGATGAGGCTTTCTGCTCCTGTAAAGATTGTAGCCTTAGAAACCCTATTCGGGGTTCCTCTGAATTGGAACCAACTCAATGGCACACAACAATGTTTTATACTAAATAAGGAATACAAAGAAATAGGACTATGTCCCTGACCTCCAAGAGTTTATAGTCTCATGGGATACTGCTTGGCCAAATAGCTAAAAAATAAAATAGTAGGTAGTATGTATTGTCTGATTTATGAACTGACAAAGGATATAAAAGAGGGAGAGATACGGGGTTGGTACAGGAAGGAAGTGGTATTTAGGCTGGGTCTTGCAGGAGACACAGACTTACAGCTATTACAGGCTCAACTGAGAGAAAAGCATGTGTAGAGAGATACTAGGATTGTCAGGGTGCCTTGACTGATAAGCCAGTCTGAGATCAGGAGAGGCAGAAAACAGCAACGTGTTTTTGCCAAAGACTGCAAGTTCCCATCTATTCAAGTATTTCTAGTACAAATCTAACAAATTTACAAAGTGGAGCAAAGGAAAAACCATGGAAGGCGAGAAAATGGTTACATGTCAGAACTACATAAGAAGGATATGAATCAAAGATAAAAAGATGCTAACAATCAGATTAGACTTTTCTATAGCTATCTGTATATGACAAGTGAATCACTGTTAACAATGACTAATCACTATATGTTATAAAATAAGCATAAAGTGAAAAAACAGACATTCCAACCAAGTGTTAGGATACAGTGTTAATCTCCACCATTTATTGAGCACCTACTATGTGATGTTTTTGTGAGTGACCCAAGGCTAGTGAGAGAGCTGGCACTCCAAGAATTGTGTATAAAATCTCAGGAGTGCGGTGCAGCCCATGAGGCTATTTATTATCTTCATGTACTTGAGAATACCTGATGGGCAAGGGCAAATTGTCAGGCTGAGCTCTTAATCACTTATTTAGTATATAGATCAGTAGCAAGAACCTATGTTTTGGAAACAGATGGTTCTGATTTCAAATTCCAATTCTACTACATACTATTTATCTGGACAATCCTGGACAAGTGACTTCACTTTCTCAATCTCCATTTCTAGTTATAATCATTATGGGAAATTAATAATAAATTTATGTAAGGTTAGGGGAAAGAGGACAATTTGGGATAATGGAAAAAGTACAGTGTTAAGGGCAAAAGGTGTGGCCTCACTCAGGTATTAAGTTACTAAGTAACCTGTATGGTTTGGGGCAAGTAACACAGTTTTAGCCTCTTTCTTCTTCTATAAAAATGTGGATAATACCATCTACTTTGAGGGATGAGTGCAAGAATCGGAGATAACATATGTTAGGTACTCAGAACAGCTAGACTATGCCATTAGCACAATGCTTGACAAAGTAAGTATGTTTCCACCCCATCCCCTCATAAACTTGTGATTTATTATAATGATAGTGTAGTGGTTATGAACCTTAAGGTCAGCAGTTCGAAACTACCAGCTGTTCCTTGGGAGAAAGATGAGGCTTTCTGCTCCCGTAGAGATTTACAGCCTCAGAAACCCTGTACTCCTCGGCACATAACCACCACCACCACCACCACCACCACCACCACTGGTGATTATAACTTAAAAACACTACAGACTACCAAAAATCATAAAAATTTAGTAAATTTTGGATACCCTGGGACTTGAATTTCTAACTTTGCTTTGTTTTTAAAAGATAACTTCATATACTTTGAAATTTATTCATTCTTTTTTCTTACAATTCTTAATTTTTTTCAGCATTCTCTTTCTGAAAGCATTATTTCAGATCAGTCAATCTGAGAAATAAGAGATTAGTAACATTACAAAGATTTGATCATTTTATAATACAAAAATTGCTAAATACACTTGCTATTTCTTGGTGGTCCCTATCTATTGCCAATCTAAACATCAATTCTTGCAAACCTGCCTGCCCCCTGAAAAAGCGAAAAACAAACAGACTCTAAGATAGTATTTAAACTAAGCACTCCAAAATAAAGCAAATCAGGGTTGCATACTTGACCTTCCATATTTAAGCAAGTCACAAGTAATACAAATATCATATACACCTAATATTTGTAGTATGTCTTTGTCCACACATCCAATTCATGGTTTATGAATCTGAGCAAATTTTCTGAAGTTTAGCGTGCATTTTGGGTTTACATGTTTTCTACAAATCAGTAAAAAAAAAAAATGTGTAAACATGATTGATCGGCAATTTAGCAGTTTTTTTGTAACTAAACAAGAGGATCGGAGTTCTCGTGTAGCACTGTAATTGGACCGCTTATTGGTCACCGGACAAACCCATCAACCGCTCCTTGGAAACACTAGAAAGATCGCTTTGAGTGTGGACAACTCGATGGCACTTAACAACAATCAAGACGGTTACTATCACTGTTACTCCTCTCAGTAGACACATTTTAATGACCTGTCCATGCGCTTACCTCATGTATGCCTTAAGAAAACACTACATACCTATCCAGAAATGTGATCATTGGTTAAGGCTAGATTTCTTATGCTCTGATAGAGTAGTGGCTAGGAGTCGAGCTGCCAACTGCAAGGTCAGCAGTTCGAAACTACCAGCTGTTCCTTGGGAGAAAGATGAGGCATTCTGCTCCCGTAAAGATTTACAGCCTCGGAAACCCTGTGCAGGGTCACTATGAGTCAGAACCCCACGGTACTTAACAACAACAACTCAGGGCTTAAAAGAAAGTTCGCGACTAAAAGTATGACTGAGGATTCTTTTATCTCTTCCTCACCTCCATAGGTTGCATTAAATGGGTTAGGTAATTCAAGCCTTCCTCTGTCAAACACCTGCACTCCCACAAAGATTGACTGATGTTAATTTCCACTTTAATGAGGATAGAATTTAAGAGCGTTTTTCAACTGTTTTGCTGTTTTAAATGCTTTAGGAATTTGAAAACAAACGAAGTCTGGCCCTAGCATTCTGAAACATCTGCACCAGAACCGGGGCTAGGTGTTAGCGGCCATTGCTAAACTAGGTAGAGTACCGGGTTTTGAAGAAATTGTTTAAAATCTGATGTACATACAGGAACAGGAGTGGGTGGGGAAGCAAGGAAGGAACTGGCATTTTCAGAGCAAACCCTATGGTTCCTGAGTTGCTAACTCCATCCTTAACCTTTTCACTGGGAACCAGTTAGAAAGGGAAGAAGTAGCCAGTAACAACAGAACAGCCCTCAACCGCCAGCCTAGACACCTGGCTTCTAGGGCCCACCGATCCGTCTAAACTCCTCTTTCTCTGGTCTTGCAGGTGAGCATACATCGCGCTCTCTTACTCCATTCTGAGATCTTTAAATTCCCCTCCTTCCCCAAAAGTGGTAACTTCAGGGTCCTGGATGTGGCAAGGGAGTAGCGGAAGAAAATGGACAAGCCCAGGGGTCTCAGGAAATTCACAGGTAGGAAGGAACGACACTCGCCCCAGCGTTGACCCCGTTTTCTCCCCAGCCCCCAACCCCTATCGCCCAGTCAGCAGAACCTGCGGCGGCCGCCCCGCGCTTGGCGCCAGGCTGGGGTCCCTCGCCCGGATGCCGGGCGTGGGATATGGGTGGGGTAGGGGTTGGCGGGTTCCTGAGCCGTGGTAGCGAATGGCTCCAGGGACCGACCACACACTGGACGGACTACCAGATTCTGATCCGGGAGGAGGCAGGGACGCGGGCGAGGCGGGGCAAGTCCTGCTCCAGTACGCCTAGAGGACGCAGCCCAGTGTCTTCTCTGGGCCGTCAGTCTCCATCCCTCCGGCGGTCCCCTGCCCTTACCTCTAGGAGCGAGGGTGTCGGTTGTGGAGGGTGCTAGGGTGCGGCGAGCTGTCTCAAGACTAGGCTCAGTAGCAGACAGCGACGGCAGGGTCGTCCCTGGGGCCACTGCTCATGGCTTGTCCGCCCGGACCACTGCGGCCGCGGCCACAGAGGCGCCTTCCTCCTCGTCCTCTTCGCGGGCTCCCAGCCGGGACGCAGCTAACGCCCCAGCCCCGCAGCCCTCCTCCCCTCCGCCTCCCGGGCCTCGGACGGAGCCGCCTCCAGCGCCGCCCCGCGTGCAGCCGGGCCAGCGGCAGCCAGCGCCGCCCAGCGCCCGGCCCTGGGGTCGCCGCCGCTGCCAGCCGAGCTACCGCCGCGCCTCCAGCCCTGCTGTGACGCAGGCCGCAGTGCCCGGGAACTTCCTTCCCTGCAGGGACCACCCCGCGCCCGGGAACGGACAACGAGGCTGCTGCCGCCGGTCTCCGGGCTTTCTTCAGAACAAGAAAAGAAATTCTCCCGCCGCTTCCTGACAGAGCTACTCTTGCCTCGGATTCACCCACATGGTGGTCGCAGCATTGGGAATCGGATGCAACTCCCTCCCCCAAAACAATGCACTGAAAACCATGAGGCTTTCGAGCGCACAATGTCTCCTCCGCTACCGCAGTTTTTAATCCGAGTAATTTAGAGGGAGCCGCTATGACTAAAAATCCTCGGGAAACTCTCTGAAGGACTAGAATCGGGATGGAACAGGAAAACAGGAGGGTGGAGAGAGGGTAGTGGGACTCTTTGAGGGAAATGTGGATGGAGGAAGACAAAGGCTAATTTCTCTGAACCACGAAGTCCTTGAGCCCCTTGAGTCAGCGTCTCCGCCCTGGTCCGACTACCCATCTCCCTGACACCCTAACCCATCTTAACTAGAGCACGGCCCTAAGGACTCTCCAGTCTCTAAGCAGCAGGTTCCAGGGATGAGCAATTGGAACCCTCCGCCTATGCTTAAATGCATGTGCTATGCTTACAGGAATTGATGGTGTCCATCAAAACCACTTGTTGTTTAGAATATTGGAGGAATGGTTCACCCCCATTTGTCGCTCTGAACCACACCCTCTTGTAGGCTAACAGGTCTGCTACACAATGAAAAAAGAAACAAAAAAAACCAGACAAGCTCAAGACAGGACCTTCTATGCTGCGTTGTCAATGCGATCTATTCTAGCAGTACCAAAATTAAATTTGTTGTTAAGTGCCAACGAGTCGGTTCCAACCCATCGCGACCCTGTATAGGGTTCCTGAGAAGCGACTGGTGGGCTTGAACTGCTGACTTTGCAGTTCAAACGGCATAGCAGTCTGGCACATTAACCCACAGCGCCACACCAGAACTCCAACCTGGAGACGATATAACAGCTAGGTGTCACTTAATGCCCGCTTCCATGACATCTGACTGCATATGCAAGTATATTAGAGGACAGGGGCACCCAAGTGTCTTGAGTGCCAGGACGCCAAATCCTCTTCTTTGAAATTGGACCCCACTTCTGCCTGGCTGCTTCGTAGTGTCTAGAAGCCATCAAGTTTATAGTGGAGACCCAGGCCCAAATGGGACTCCAGCAACTAGGTGGGTCTGTTGTTATTAAGTGCCGTCGAGTCAGTTCCAACTCATAGCGACCCTGAATAGGGTTTCCAAGTGGGTTTGAATTGCGGACATTGCTGTTCAAGCCGACCTTTCAGTCCAGTACATTATCCTACAGTGCCACACCAGGACTCCAGGTGGGTCAAGTGTCAAGTTTTGCCCGTTCAGGTCTCATAAGACGCTGATGAAATGGTGTGTACCCCAGTCCTAGCTCAGACATCCTCTGGCCCCTTGGTCTGTTTCATGCCTCCCTGGGCAGGTTCTTATGGGAGAATTGATTTTCCCTGCAGCTGGATTAGCAGAGAAGGTGACCAAAACTGAGAGCTCACCTGAGGCTCCCTGGGAGCCTGTCTCTCTAGGGCACAGGTGTTTGCTAACGTCCAAATTACATAGCATGTTATTTCACAGACACATCATGGATGTTAAGCAATGCATTGTTGTTAAGTGCCATTAAGTTGATTCTCAATCAAAACAACCCTATGCACAACAGAACGAAACATTGCTCAGTCCTGTGCCATCCTTACAACTGTTACGTTTGAGCTCAATGCTGTTGCCACTGTGGCCATCCATCTCATTGGGGGTCTTCCTCTTTTTCGTTGACCTTCCACTTTACCAAACATGATATGATGTCTTACTCCAGGGATTGGTTCTTCCTGCTATCGTGTGCACAGTATGAGAGATGAAGTCTTGCTATCTTGGCTTATAAGGAGCATTCTGGTAGTGTTATTGTTTTAAGTGCTGTTGAGTTGGTTCCAACTCATAGCCACAGAGTCGGTTATGACCTATAGCGACCCTGTACAGGGTTTCCGAGGCTGTAAATCATTATGGGAGCAGAAAGCCTCATCTTTCTCCCGCAGAACAGCTGGTAGTTTAAACTGCTGACCTTGCGGTTCGCAGCCCGATTCGTAAACACTACGCAATCTGAGCTCCTTATAGGATTTCCAAGTAGCAGCTGGTAAATTTGAACTGCAGTCCAAACTGACTTTGCAGTCCAACGCATTAACCTACAGCACCACACCATGACTCCATTCTGGCCCATTCTGGTTGTTGTTGTTGTTAAGTGCCGTCGAGTCGGTTTCACCCATAGCGACCCTGAATTGGGTTTCCGAGGCTGTAAATCTTTACGGGAGCAGATCGCCTCATCTTCCTCCCGCGGAGCAGCTGGTAGTTTCGAACTGCTGACCTTCCGGTTCGCAGCCCGATTCGTAAAAATAGATTTGTTTGTTCTTCTTGCAGTCCATGGTATTTTGAATTCCTTTTTCAACACCATAATTCACATGCATCCATTTTTCTAAGGTCTTCCTTATTCACATGGATATAAGGTGATTGAAAGTGCATATGCATTCCTGTAGATGTTGTTATTGTTAAACCCTGGAGTCAGTGCCAAGTCATAGTGACTCTGAATAGGGTTTCTGAGGAGCAGCTGATGAGTTTGAGCCAGGACACAGCTTCAGTTTTATACCTAGTTTACAACCAGTTTTACTCAGAAAGCACTTACAGAATAAGGCCCTCAGCAGGAGGTACATGGCCTGAGTACTTCCCTCTTTAAGTATTTAAATCTAGGTTAAAATATTTAAGGGAGTCCTGGTGTGGTGCTGTAAGATAAGCACTGGACCACAAGGTCAGTTTAAAGGATCAAACCCACCACTAGGAGTCAGAATCAACTTGATGGTGCCTAACAACAACAAAGGTATTTAAAAGATGATGCTAGTGATGCCTGAGATGGAAGTAGAGATGATGACATAGAGAGATGGAGCAGCGTGGGCTTTAGACACAGAGAGGGAGAGGGGCTGTGTGCTGATGACGGAGGTGGGAGGCAGGGAGGAGGCGGCAGCAGGCTTGTAGTGTATACCCTTTGGTTGGTTGATGATGCATGGAGGGGATTGTAAGCATGGCAATAATTCACAATAAAACATTTTTTAAAAGAGATAATGCTAACTCAGGAAGCATTTTTACATCTACCCTGTGGTTTACTTGCATTTTCTTTTAATGCGACATTGCTAAAGTTCAGCATGTTTCTTTATTGTCCCAACAACTCTTCAGAAAGTTTTCTACCTGCTGCCCAGAAGTAAAGTCTCATCCTAGATTTTAATTTGGATCTAGGTTCATTAAAGCATGTGCTTAGTCATCTTCTAAGACCTTAGAAGGTTTAAGGTTATTTCTGGGAAGGAAATCTTATACCAGCACTGGAATTGAGAAAAATGTAGTGGTTTGCTGTGTGATCAAGAGGAAAGCAGTTAAAAGTTCGAGAGAACATCTTTTAGACAAATTTTCTTTTTACTGGGCTTGGAAATAGAGACATAAAAGGAGATGGCTGCTTCCTAATGGTCTGGTTTGTAAGATCAAGTGAAACAGTGAAAGGCTATTAGGATAAGCACTGGACCTCAAGGTCAGTTTGAACCTCAAACGTTCGATAACAAGTGTGGTTATTGAAGGAGACTACCATAAGGAGCCCTGGAATGGCACTGTGGGTTAATGCTCTGGAATGCAAAGTCAGTTTGATCCGCAAGTTAGGCGGTTCAAACTCACCAGCTGCTCCTCAGAAACCCTATTGTTGTTGTTATGTGCTGTGGAGTCGATTCCCACTCATAGTGACCCTGCACAGCGTTTCTGAAGCTGTAAATCTTTATGGGAGCAGAAAGCCTCATCTTTTTCCCACAGAACAGCTGGTAATTTTGAACTGCGGACCATGAGGCTAGCAGCCCAGTTCGTAACCATTATGCTACCAGACCACCACTCGTCTGTCAGTTTGTTGTACTTGTGGTGGCTTGTGAGTTGCTGTGATTCTGAAAGCTATGCCACCGGTATTTTAAATACTAGCAGGGTCACCCACGGTGGACAGGTTTCAGATGAGCTTCCAGACAAAGACAGACTAGGAAGAAGGAGGGACGAACTACTTCTGAATATTTAGTCACCGAAAACCTTATGAATAGCAGAGAAACACTGTCAGATATAGTGCTGGAAAATGAGTCCCTCAGGTTGGAAGGCACTGAAAATGTGACTGGGGAAGAGCTGCCTCCTCAAAGCAGAGTTGACCGTGATGATGTGAATGGAGTAAAGCACATGGGAGAAAAACCCGCGGGACCTTCATTTGCTGATGGGGCACAACTCAAACTGAAGAGAGACAGCTGTAAACATCCATTAAAAATCGGAACATGGAATGTATGAAGTATGAATCTGGGAAAATTGGAAATTGTCAAAAATGAAATGGAGCTTTTTCACAACGGGTTTGCTGCCAGAATACAGGTGTTGGTGAAAACCATCGCAAAACCTAAACCAAAATGGGAAAGGAAAAGACCCATAGCAACATTGTCGTTATTGGACATGTTGACTCCGGCAATTCAACTGCTACTGGTCACCTGATCTACAAATGTGGTGGAATCGACAAAAGAACCATTGAAAATTTTGAGAAGGAAGCTGCTGAGATGAGAAAGGGCTCCTTCAAGTATGCCTGGGTATTGGATAAACTGAAAGCTGAACGTGAGCGAGTCATCACCATTAGTATCTCCCTGTGGAAATTTGAGACCAGCAAGTACTATGTGACCATCTTTGATGCCCCAGGACACAGATACTTT